ACACACAGACTGTGAGTTTAGGTGTCTTTCCTACGAGGTTGAATACGCTGATGGCGAGCAACTCTGCAGCTCACACATGGTAATACATAATGGGAGTAAGAGGTTGAGATCTACACGCAAACAGCTTAAGGTTTAAGAATGAGGTTCCTGAAGAATATCAACAAGTCTTTTGCACTCTCCAACTTAATATACGATACAAGATATCAGCTCTTTCAGTTGAAGCAAATACAACTTTAAGATATAAGGTAGTGCTTATTGATTGCTTATACGTTTGACGCTACAAAGTATTCGGCAGCTTGTTAAGATTTGAGCAACCTTACATGGCTTAGACTCAAACTCAACTCACTTTATTCATGCGAGCTGTCTGTGTACCTGATCTAGCCTCCACATCAGTGCGATGTTAATCTGTTTGCCACACAGTTGCGGCTAGTCCTTCCGTGGCTTATGCAATCAGTTTGGTTTATATTTTTCAAGACGGGTACAGCCCAACCTGATGACAGGAAGGCTTCTAACTGGATAAGACTGTGTGAGATTCATATGAGTTAAAGGCTCCTTGATACTTTGGAAATTAATGCCTAAAGGTAACTTTTTTGATAGTTATTAAGCATTCATAACCTAGGAGTGCTGTGGATTCCTAATGGAACCCTTTTGTTGAGGAAAACCGTTAAAGTTGGTATCTGCAGAGCCCAGCCTAGCTTAACGAACAAATTAAAGTTGGCAGCGGGGGATTGCGTTTTACAGTTTTAAAGAAGCCCATTAAATAGTCAAAAGGCAGTGCTAGCAAATACATGTTTTCGACAATTGTTCTTCAGGCTAGTACAATTAGGTACCACTGCAGCCATGGCAATTTGGCCGCGTGAGCCAACTCTTTGCATTCAGAAGCAAAGCATTCAGGCCTTACTACTACCCTGATCCGATCGACCTGTGATCATTACACATTTGGATCGCATGCAAGCCAAAACAAGAACCAGATCAATATGGATGATTAACCTTGGTTTTACCCCATTTTTACTAACCTTAATAGTCTGTCTGATTGAGTTGATTGGTATATAATTGTACTAGCCTTAACAAATGTTGTCGAAAACATATGTTTGCTAACAATGCCATTTGGCAGTGAGTTGATGCATCACCTGCTGTAAACAAGGTTCTCTGTTGTTTTTAATCAATGAATTGCAATTAAAGTAGAAGCTCCCGGAAGCTTCTTACCTTAGTCGCCTGCTCTGTCTAACCAACCTGTTGTTTCCATCACATAGGAGCTACTTGAGTTCGACTTTATTACTATTGTGCACTAAAAGGTAACCTGCATCGGTAGAAATCGTCAGATGACTTTAGAGTATATATAAACCTAGCGCAGTGACACAGTGGTTGACTGCATTTCTATGGAGGCCAGCGCATATAGCCGCAAACCTGTTTATGGCACTGCGAATGCGTGTTCGTTTTACCTTAATGTATGAGTGTGTGGAATTCTTGAGTTTGAGTTTCTACATATCACAAAAGGCCAGCCTACAAAGCGGCTTGGATCCAAGAATGTCTATGAAATACTCGGAGACAAAGTAGTACGCAACATCCATAAAACTTCGCAATTTGCCGGTGCCATTGCTCTATAGAAATCGTCCGTCAGTAAGTGAGCAAGAGACGGCAATGGCACCCTGATGCACAAAAAGCAACATTATTTGTCTCTGACAAACGGGTGTGGACACAGTGAAAGCAACAAGTTGGAATTACAATTTGTGGTAAAAAGGATCTATGGTTAAATGGATGACCAGCAACTTGTTTATACGTGCGACAATTAGCTTCTATCAGTTACTGGTAAGTAGCAGGATTTTGGTTGTCAGTTAAAGACGCTTGTATGAAAGCACTTAGGGTAGAGCTGTACAACTTACCAACGGTTGTAAGTCGTTTAGGATTGTCACCTCTGAGATGTTAGTGTTTATGGACATTGGGTTTGTAGAATAACGGCTTGCTACTGAAGCTAGACTGTCAATAGTCGCTTATACGACGACGACAGCAACAAAAGAATGGATAAGTAGACGTAAGTAATTAGACTTTATTTAAGGGAAATTTGTAAGGATCTGTTTAAGCAACTCGTATTTTCACATGCAGCAGTGCTAGGGATTGCCGGGTGCATCGAGACGTCTGGTCTGTTTGGAGGGATTCGGTTAGGAATAATTTAAATTTGCCGGGAACTTGCATTGAGGTGACTCGAAGCTTGAGTCAAAGACACAATAAGTAATAAACTTGTCAAGGTCAGTGTCTATTTAATCCCACTGGTCGGTGGTGGTTTGTATAAGGCGTCTGTCTTGTGATCCACAGGTTGCCGGTTCGAAGCTGCGTGGATGGGATGAACTTGCAGTATTCCTAGCCCACGCACGACTGACAGGAGTCGCGTGCAGCCAGGCGTTGTTACAATGTCCTGGCACAATGCTGACGCCTCTTCTACGTGTGATGCACCAGCAAAATGAACACGGCTACGGTAAATGCAGACAACTCCCAAACCGCGGTTGACTTAGTTGTTGAGATATTGGAGCGCCTTCACGGCCTTAGTGTGCTAAAATGGCATGTACATCAACTCGATTAAGTCAAACAGCGTTGTCACGACTCTTTGGATACGAGGATCCGTTTGAATGTACGAAACAGCCTGACCTAGTATAAACAATTTTGCCTGCCAGACTGGCAGTAGATTCCACCATGCACGGGACCAAATATCAAATTTTGGGTTATGGGGTTATTTGAACCGCAAACATCCCTGGCGTGCCATTCGTTGACTACATTCTTCGGGACAAGGTAGTAAAACTACGATCATGAGCAGTTTTACGGGTTAGAATTACCAGCCTAGAGCATGTATTTACAACTGTCTTATTCAGCGCATTGCTTGCACGGGGATGCGTTTCAGTCGGTTAATAACTGGTTAACTAAGCAAGAATAGGTGACTAACTATCTCTTCTGTAACTGGAGAAAGTCTAGCAGCTAGTGGTATCAGTCACAAAAGCTGAAACTCAGACGCGTGCAACTCTAGTTTACCATAGCGGTATTCAAACCGTACATGGATGAAGGAACACCTGGCGCCGTCATCCAAGCGCTTTTTGTGACGCGCATCAAGAAACAACATGAGTTACTGAGCAAAGGTTATATCAGTTATTGTAAACGACGAGGGCTAGACTGTACAAATTCAAGGAAACTCGGGTGGAGGCTATGACTGCAGTCTGTGCTATGTTAACTGCGCGTATCAGCCGGTGGACATTTGGTCGCAGGGGTCATAAGCGAGTTGAACATGTTTATCGTGTTGACAAGGAAGCCACAAAGTACCTGTCCTACATGCAGGCAGAATTTTTTGATCAACTATTTAATTTTAACTGTTTTTCTTTGCAACCATTTGCTTTGACTGTGCCCACTTTGCCACGAAGCACCCCCAGGGAAACTGGTAACGTTTGACCTTATCCCATAGGGAGAGTGATACAAACCTGGTTTAGGAATGGGATTAGCAAATTTGATTGGTGATCGCGTTTGGGAAATCTTTCAGTTGCACTGAGTTGAGCTCATGCATTATAGGCCCGGAGGGGTATTGGTGTAGCACCCCGATGGTTAAGCCTTTATACGAAAAATTTTACATTAAATTTTATTACTGATCTACGGTAGGATATTCGTTCTTGTTTTACTTCTTCCTACCCTCCGTCCATATCACCTCGCACTCATCTGTTCAGTAAGTTACTGTATTGATGTTTGCTGCTGTCTTGCTTCATCAGTCAACACCTTCTTGTTGCCCCTCGAATGTATAGCACTTTGTTTGACTTCATCTACTGACATCCATGCTGGATTACGCGCCCCGTCTCTGAGTTCTATGTACCAGCCCTTCAGTACATGCAGCGAATCAAGCTACAAGCAGCGGCGGTACCAGGTACTTCACCGCGGCTAGCTGGCTAAGGAGTGCCACAATTTCACCACCTTGGTAGTTGCATTTACTCGGTTCGCGGTGATTATGATACAAATGATTTTCACAACCTACTGCGGTAAACATTCTAATGGACGACTTCAGGGTACACTAAACTTTGAATGAGTCACTTTAATACATGAATCGTTTAAGTACATGGAGTTTGTAGTTCATTGTATCTCGCGGAACTTCCCTGATTACTCGTGATCTTCCAGTCCGATCGCTATTAATCATTCTAACGGTTAACGGTAGATGGACTTATAGGACTAATGCATCTGCTCAAGTATTACATGCGAGTTCTGCGCAGCAAAAATGAAATGTTTGCAAGAAGATAATAAATGTGGTAAAGTGAGACAAGAAACATATAAATGTACTTGGAAAATCGAGAAAATAGGACGGACTTACCCAAAACTACAAGCGACGGAAATTACCCAAATTCGCGTTTGCGAATCAAGGTCGCCAATTTAGAGGAATAGTAAGTAGTCCGACACGGGCACGTACTCGAGCGCGGATATCTAAAAGTAAAGGAAGTCGAACACAGCGGATTATATTCTTGGGGTTGCTAGAAGATGTGGACTGATGAAGAGAGATGGGAGCGAACCTCAACACAGTAAATCACTGAGCAGAAGAGTGTGAGTGGGTGCAGACGGAAGGTGGGGTGCAGTCACGCAAGAACGAATATTGTGCAATCAATCAGTAATAATCTTGTACGTAAAACACAGTGCCATCTGTTGTGACGCTGTAGTCTGTATTTCTTTTAAAACTGTTTATCGCATCAGGTTATGCTTGCTTCACTATAGAGCGTCCAATAGAATGTCTCTTCAAGTGTTACCATATTTCGGAAGGTTGACTACATCAACCTTGGCGAAGCAAGGTGCTTCTGTTTTCAATATGCTTTTGCGGAATGGCAAATCAGATATTGGAACTGAGATCCATGAATAATAAGCAGCCAGATGTAACTAAGCTACGCCACCAGGCGTCTTAGGTTATACTCTACACTCGAGCACGTTATACAAACAAAATCCAGGAGTATTGAGCTTTTAACTGATTCACTGATCTGCGTCATTCTCTTGAAGACCCTTCGGTAACAATGGGTGGTTGTAACAGTTTTGTTGGCAGGTAAACAGGTTTGAGCATGCTAGGTATCGCAGTTAGCTACAAAAGTCACTCAAGTCGACGACGAACGTGTCATAAAAACAAACATTATGGGAAAGATGACTAAAAATAGTGCCGCTAAAAATTCGAAATTCACCACTATGGATAGGCGCTCACCAGTTGATACTTGCAGCAAATACCTGTCCTTTCGCAGGCCTTCGACCGTGGGTCCATATCAAATACAACTTAAAATTCCAATGGGATAGGAACCAACGGAAATTCCCATGGTCGTTCCATCACGTATGCGCCGTTGATCCACGTTAGAATGTGGTGGTAAGGTCGGCCAGTTGTGGGATTCCAATCAGCAAGTACAAATCAAGCCATGATCAACCAAACAGAACCCACGTGCTCTGCACTAGCAGTCCCCGCTGGGCCGGCCGCGTAAAATAAAAAATGGAATAGAAAGCGGAAAGGTGCGAAAGAGACAATGTAGAGGAAGTTGGTAAGAGTGAATAAAAAGCAGGATAGCTGGGGAGCAAACAGAAACTAAATTAAAGGAAGAAGAGAAAGATTTGACGCTGCAAGTTGAGGGCGTCGTGGCGACGTTTAGACTCTGTCACCGTGGATGACAAGGCTACATCCTCAGGTAGCGCGGTTCCAAGCAGCTATCACTCGGCGTGATAAACGAGTGTCAGCCCGAACCCGATCCGATCTGAGTTTGTGCACCTTCATCTGATGCCCGCTGATCATAGGTAACTGCGTTGGATGAAAAAACCAAGGAAGGTCTGGACCTACCTGCCCTGTCAGTATACGATAAGTGAGAATCAGGTCGCCACGAAGACGACGATAAGGTAATGAAAACATCTTTAGCTTGAGTAGCCTGTCAGGATAGGACAGGTGCCGCAACCCCTGCACCATTTTGGCTCCACTTCTTAAGACTCGCTCTACCACCATCCTGTCACAAGTCAGGCAAGGAGAACAAGGCTAGACGCAATACTCGGTGCGGTCTAACAAAGGCCGTAAACAATCTAACGAACATTACTCCCGATGGGATCCTAGATGGTCTACGGATCATCCAGAGGATTCGAAAACCCCTGCAAGAAGCTTTCTTCCCGTTTTCGCTGGATTTAAAGTCCAGAGACAAAGTGACCACTTAGTCAATTTGTTGGGATACGTGAGGAATTTCATTATCGCCAAGCTTGTAGTGCATTGTCGGACCTCTTGATTCTATGCGCAAAACTGAACATTTGCTGTAGTTTATTGGCATCTGCCACAGGACGGACTAATCCAGGAGTCTGTCAAGAGCCTGTTGCAGAACTTGTGAGCCATTGGGGTCGCTCACGGTGCACCAGCGTCGTCGGCGAACATGAGAGTAGGCTGTCCAGCACTCCTTGCAGTTCATTTACGTACAAAACAAAAAGCAGTGGAGCAAGAACTGATCCCTGCAGGACACCTCTCAGAGCTATCTGTCGGAAAGAAAGGCTGGAGCCCACCCGAACACACATCTCAAGCCCTTCGAGAAATGCGGATAGCCATCGAAGCGCGTGCACGGAAACTCCATAAAAACAGAGCTTAAGGGAAAGACGAGTATGCGAGATAGAGTCAAAGGCTTTGGAGAAATCAATGAATAACACATTCACTGATTGACGCTGATCAACAGACCCGGCCCAACTTTCCCGAGCAACCATCATGTTGGTCAAGTAGGAGTATCCTTTGCGAAAACCATGTTGAGAAGGTCTGAGAAGGCCAAACATCCTTAAATGATTTTCGTGAGCATCCCTCACCAGATTTTCTAGCAACTTAACCAGTACACAGGTTAGACTGACAGGCATGTGGTTTCCAGAAAGATACTTATCACCCTTTTTAAAGTTGGGGCAAACTACAGCTTCCTTTCAGTCGGTAGGTAAGGTGCAACTGGTAAGAATGGATTGGTGAGAATGGACTTTAACAAATGTATTACATTGTAGGAAGCTAGCTCGAGGCACACAAGCAGTGATGCGCGGAAAGACGTACATCACTGCATAGCGGCCTGATTAAGTCAACCAGTTTCATTACGACTGTGTGTATGCCTGGATCCTGTTGAATGTACGAGCCAACTTGAATTAGGTATACACATTTTGGCCTACCAGACTGGCAGTAGCTTCTACCATTTCACGATCACAAACGAACAATTGACAAACGTTTGACTGTAAGACTGGGATGATAAGCAATGATAGGTAACAAAAGGGGTGCATTTTACGTGCAGTGGAATGCGTGTACGATGCATAACCACGAGCATTTTATGCAACAGCCAGAGCTAAACAACGCATTGCATTACTATTCAAAAATCTTACTCTACGAGATTCAATTTGCTCAATGTATGAATCATTCGCTCGCCCTTTACTTGAATATTGCTCAATGGTGTATAGCAATTCCAGGAAGCATGATCGTATCGCCATAGAAAAGGTACAAAGAGCGTTTACAAAGCGCCTTATTGGTACGAGCTTAGTGTTACCCTATTCTGAGCGATGCGACTTACTTAAGCTTGACCCAATATGGCTTCGACGCCTAAAAGTAAACTTAGCACTTTTTTTCAATATCCTGCACAAAAATGCCCACGCCCCTAGCATTGATCTATCACTCATGAAATCAAATGGATACAATACACGCAATAGAGAACATTCTGTGATGGTAAGAAGGTCAAAGACAAACATATCAGCAAACTTTTTCCTAAATCGGTACTCCCGTATTTGGAACAAATTGCCGACCGATATTCGTACTAGCACATCTGAGTATAACTTTCGTAGGAAGCTTGACGAATATCTTACAGTCAGCAATGTGATTATGCTCCTGCGCTGCCCTACAACTATTCAACAAACGTATGAACAAGGTCCAGACAACATATAACTGAAAGTTGCAAATGACTGTATCAGTCAGATCAACAAACACCCGTTGATTCCCTGCTTACCCTTCTCTTTTATTGCCCACTCCTGATCTGCCTGCCCGAAAGCTCACCACTGATTAGTGGCTCCACTGATACATCGATGGGTTGGAGGTCCAGGCTTCTGTTATCCTCTTCATCCCATCTTGGCTCACTATACTTCCCCTTGATTTTACTTGGCTCCACTGCAACCATGTGTCAGTTGAATCACTGGCAACTTGGTTAGCTGGACTCCCAAATCCGGTTAACTATCTCTCCAATCGTAACTTCACTTCCGTTTCACCCGCTGGCACACCTACCATTCGTTTGTGAAAGCACTGACGCTTTGGTAGGTAAAGCACCCGGATCCTTTCTTTACATCTTCAACCCACCTTGCTCCCCAACACTTAGCTTCGGTTTTCACTTGACCATAGCTTGCTGGTGAATCAACCGACATATTGTCAACATCGATATGTTTGCCACTCAGGACTACTGTAACCTCGTAAACATATCACTGGCGTTCTGTTGGACCAATTCCCTGAATAATCAAACTCCTAGCGCAGTTAGCCAAACTACTAAAGGTTCGGCATTCTTGTTCACAGCCCATAACCCACACATCTTAAGTAATCCGAAATCCGTATTGCGCCTCCTAATTGTAAACAACATCTGCAATACAATAATAAGGTAGTTGCTTAAATATTTCCCTTTTTCACTGTGCAGTAATGTGGACTTATTTTTCCCTGTTACCCAGACCCATACTGCTGTTCCTTATGCTGAGTCCAAAAATTTGGTTGCGAGACCCCACACTATATTACTCTCGATTCCACACATGTACATAATTCCATAGGAAGTTTTCGGCCTCCAACGCACTAATACCTACTAATACTTGCTATTTCCCTTCTATTTACGTTGATCCGGACCACAACTCGTTCAGCGGTACGATGAGATACTTGCTACCGAAGAAAATTGGATCTGCATAAGAATAAATAACAACTTGTATCCAATCCCACTCAATACGAATCACCTCGCATCCGATAAACAATTTCAGTTTCAGAGAAAACTTGTACATAATGATCGGTCCAGGGTCTCTGGAACGTGTCTCACCTTTCTAAAAAAGATACCTATTATTATTATTATTATTACCTCAGTTAGTCGCAGGTTGCTCGGTGAGAGCAACTGATCAGGAAGCCTTTACATCGCCAACCTCTTTACTTAAAAGAATGAATGCCGACACAAAGCCGCAACAGCAATAAAGATCTATCTTGAAAGTGGGCTTAGGCACCAGAATGACAAACAGGAAGTTGGTGAACTAGGGAAGCGCTTCAGAGTTGATCTACTTTTTGCAAAACTGTCCCCATTACTCACTTTTTTCTCAAGGACTACTGAATAACTATGCATAGGTTCGCATCTTAGTTAAAATGAACGTTTTTGACAAGGTATTCATAGGAAACAGCTAGATGTCGTTTGTAACACTTCGAGTTGCTAAGGAACTGTGCGAGCAAAATGAACTCTGCGCTTTATAATGCAGTACACTTTTTATTCCCTTCCGAGCAAAGCCAACTAACCAAGGTGTGTTAACACAGCTACTCTTACCTAAATTCATGAATGTCGCCTACAGCGCAATGCTTAAGATCCTTGGTTGGTGACGTTCGTGGATAGCAACTAGCGAGTACGTCGGGAAGATGGAGAGACTCTAATGACCATAAAGTTCTTACTACTCGTGTGGCTATTTAGAGCTATGTCACAGCAGATATAGTGTACGAAGTTATGCTCTGAAAAAACATACGTAACCTTAATCCGTGCAAGGTTTATCATCCTCTCAGTGTATCTAGGAAAAGTCGGTGGTGTAATGAGATTTGCCAGGACGCATTCATAGTCCCAAGCAAATCATGTTTTTAGTCCCAGCCAGATATTGTGAAGCAGCAGAATAAAATACATGAAATTCTGTGCCCGCCTTGACAGTCTACGTATTTCGCTTTAATGTGATGTAGAACAAGTAAAACATGCTACTGCAAAGTACTGGACGGCTCTCCGCTTTTGTTAGGCAGCGCAGTAATGAACAAACAAGAGCGAATATATCCCGGTTAAAATATATCCGAACGTACGACGTTGGATGTATCGCAACCACGGGCCTACTTATACCAAGAGTGACTAAAATGAACAAAGGACTATTTTTACTAACAAGAATAATACGACGGGTTCGGTGTACGTTTTGTCAACTGTGACTGCTTCCAAAAATTTTATGATGCGTTGCAAGTGGTTACGGTCGACCAGCATGCTCTTATTTAAACCCTTGTAAGCATCCGAATCAAATACATGCATTTGCTTCTTCTTTAGGTTGATGGAGTCTGTTTCCCCGGTATTACTCCAACGACTGCTACAGGCTCAACCCAATTGTCAGCGAGCGCAGATAGTCCGGTTGTCCCAGCCTACTCTGAGGAATTAAATCTCATTTATCCAGCGGTGCGTTCCAGTACATTAACACTGTTTGCAGCTAGATATTCTCCCACTGACCATAGATGCCGTTTGAATAGCTCTGAGCAAAGGTTGCTTTTCTATCACAGTTATAGTCTAAGGGAGTAATAATGGTTGCTGGTATACCAAAATGTTGATTATAAAGTGCATGCATCCATTCTTCATGATCCCAAGAACAATTCTCTGTTTGCCATCGAGATGGCGGGTATTCGCCAGTTGCTCTAATTTTATGATACACATGAATGTAAAGTAGTAATGGTAATACTTATTTGATCTATTTAGCAAGCGACTGCGTCCTTAAGGGTTACAGGTCAGTAGCTAATAACGTTCGTCATAGTGTACATAGACATTGATTAAAAGAAGCCGAGTTGTACACCGCTACTCAGTAATGTCTATATTCAAGAGTTTGATAAGTCGTTTTGACATCTCTCGACGACACGGTTTTCAGATTCCCCTCCTGTTCATGCGGTTTGAAATCAGCGTACTGTTCCTGGTTAGTAAGAGAAAACTGATTCGCTTTCCGATTCTTTTCTTTTACCACTGGTGCGCTTCAGTGGACGCAGGTGAGAGTGTTAATACGGATGGAAAGAAGTGCACGCACCGGAGAGGTTTCGGTGTTTTTCTATTCCGACGACGATACCCAACGATCCGTTGCGCCCTTGTTTGAACTCAAAAGATAAGGAATACCTGAGCTAAGATGGAACTCGTGGCATAGTAGTTAAGGGCTGACGCCCTGATCACTATGCCTCTAAGATCCGTGAGCAACGCTTGGCACAACAGTATGGAATTCAAAGCTGGATTTGGATTACTCGATTTGTGGTTGAATTGTGACACGCAATCTTTATTGAGACTTTGCAGTGTACTTTGGTCCCTCCGATCACAATAACCGTATCCCAAATAGGGATATTTTGCGTTGCTCCTCCCAACACTGACACCCATAACCGATTTTGTCTTCGTTTGGACTCATCAGATGGAGACAGATTGAGTTGGGTGTGGAATTCGGACATTTGATTGACGGCTGACGCGTTGATCACCAGGTCACTGAGACCTGTAGAAAGCGCTTGTTGTGTCGATTAGGAATTTCAAGTTGTGTTTGGAGTACCCCCATGTGATTAGGTTGCGACACACATCACCACTTAGCTAAAACCGCGAATTCCATCTATATCATGTTATTTGGGTAGGAATTGTGAGCTTTTGGGTGGTAGAAATGAAATAGTTGGAGGAATCCAGTTGCCAGATGATTTTCCGTTTTCCGTAACGAGGTGTTGTTTGTGCACACGAATAGGGAGAGATAATCACAAAAGTCAGGAAATGAGAAAAACGGAAATGTCACATACCGGCTGACTTCCGTGTGGTCAAAATCACTGAGAGATAGGCTCGGTCAAGTGGATGCGAAGAGAAAGAAATGGTTCAATGGAAAAAGCCCTGACCTTAAGCGAATCGGTGTGTGGGCCTGAGAGAGGATGTAGAGGAGTAATGAAGGACTTGGTCAAAGATGAGATTCTGCTGTCTAACACCCTCGCGGACATAGTTCTCCTCGACGCATGGTGTATCTTTGAGCGGAAACGATTGGTGCACAAAATTAAGTAAAGGTGGCATCATGTTTTTCTATACACCAGCGCAAGCGCGTTGTCACCTGATCCCTTTTGTGACATGAACGTGATGCAACAGCATGTAGGTAATCGAGTGCTTCCAATGAGTTACTCGGTATTCTCAGGAAAGAATATCCAGCAGTGAACTGTAGGTGACTTCAGCAAGCATTACTATGGCTTGCCCTGGAAAAACCTTGTGCGCATTCACAGAATTCATTGGTCTTTACTTCTGATATCATATTTGTGCCTGGTAGCAGTAGAATGGCTATATCGCAACGAAACTGTGGCAGCCGATATAATGGGCATCTTTAGACTCCGATTGCTTTACACTTTATGCCCTTTATTGAATGTAGCTGACATATACTGTGTGATTATCTGCTGACACTGCAGAAACCGGTAGCCTTCGACCACTGCTATCGATCCATCGGTAATCCGTCAAGAGATTGAACTGAAGAAAACCGACCGATTGCGATGCCTGGCTGCATCCGGTAAGAACAAAGGTGGGAATTGGAGGGTCTTTTGAAGTACTCACTGTGTGACTAGATTGCGACGCGCAATTTCAATGTTTACCGTGATTCGTATTAAAGCGAACCTTAGCCACAGCGATTAGCAGGATCGTAGCTGGGAACTTTGCCAGTTAGCCAAAGACATATTACTGGCCGACAGCTGCATGCATTACATGTCTCAAGGGACGATCAGGTTGAAAGCACTATCATAGTGAACGAAAAGGCATACGACGACACTAAGGTTGACATTTTTATATTCGACCAGGGACGATGCCTTGGTTTAAACTTCAACGTTGTGCAAAGAAAGAAAAGTGAGGTTGATGCTTGGGAGTGTGTCAGCGGAAAGCTGACGACAACTGAGACATGATGTATGTCGGCAGTGGACTGCGTGGGAAATTCTCGGTGTCTGGTTACTCTTGTTAAGTACTTGTAAGACGTTGAGTTGAAGATAAAATAGAGAGGCTTATGGTCAGTCTTAGCAGTGAAAGCACGACCTTCTACTCTGTGTCGGAAGTGGTGGAGAGCTAGGCAGATGGCAAACAGTTCTCTGCCGAATGTGCTGTAGCGAGATACCACTGACTGGAGGCATTTTGAGGTTGTCATTGCTCACCAACACTTTGTTGGAGAACAGTTCGTAACGCAGCGTCTATATGATCAGTTGTAAGTTAAAGAGGGGAGAACGGTTCAGTAGAACGGTGCTTTATAACGGATAAAAAAGCATAAGCCTAAAATGTCTGATAGGTGTTGCAAATTCGGATACCTCAAAAATATACGAAATAATATGCACATCGGTAAATTGACAGATTAATGGTACTGTTAGGGGGCGTGTGGGATACTAGTTGGTAACAGTGGCACGTAAGAGACGTGTCAAATGCGTGACAATAGAGAACCTGGAGGCAGCTGACCCAAACGTGTATTGTACCGGCTACAAGAATAGGAAACTAATCAGCTAGGGCAAGGAACAGTATAGCACTGGACTTACGAGAGCAGTTTTGTGAAATCGGATGTGCTATCCGTAAAACCAATGGACGTTCCAGTGGTTCAGAAAACAACAAAATCCGACCTTGTAACATACCGAAAGAGTAGCGTGTGTTACCGAATATAAGCCGACGATTTTTAGACACTATTTTGCTTCTATGGCTTATAAAATGACTATAAGAAGTTTCAAAATGCCACATGCAAAATCCACTCATGAATTCACTGCCACTTATCACCACACGCTAATGACGGACGGTATTCCAGAAGGGCATTTGAAGTGTCTATAAATGGACACGTTAGTTTTGTGTCAAGAGTTCTCGGTATACCTCACCTTTGACCTTCGCGACGGATGGCAGCAGCGAATCAATAGCCCTTAAACATTATGTTCTGCCAGGTGATCCACTGCTTTAAAAGTACAACGTCACCCCACATCCTGAGCGTGAACTTCACTCTCACCCACTGCTGTACTGTGGTTCAGATGCATGAGGCCCGACTATGCGAGGCGGCCTGTCTGACACCCTCTCACCTTGTTAGCAGTTGTCTTGTCTGTTTCGTCTGACGTAACACCCAGTTAATTCAGTGTGCGGTGCGGTGAAAGTCTGTTCTGACGACCCCATTCACTGCGATTATAACACATTATGGTCACCACAGCTGACCTCTCTTCCAGACAGAAACAAACTGTTCACCACGTGCGGTCAAACGCCTTCGTGAAAGTACCACTGTCACCTCGGCTTCTCTTGTCACTCCGCGATCTGCCCCACCACCAACGTCTTCGACTTCGGCCGAGCCTCAGGTTCAATTGTACCCACAGGTGGAAGACAGACTCGGAACCTACAAAATGCCGCTTCACTGATCGGTCCGTGAATTTCTCAGAGGCTATCTGTGAACTTCTGAACACCGAGGATCCATGGACCACTCAAAAGCGCAAGGGGCCACGTAATGGAGTTCAGGCGTCCCCTGCTGATAAACAACAACCCAAACAGATAAGCGCCTCTAGTCCTGTTCCCACAGGTTCATCACCGATTTCGCTGAGACGTTATAATCTCATGGTCTTCCACGTACCGGAGTCAAAAGATGAAAACCCTCAGATACGTCATGATCAGGATGTTGTTTCTCCAGGGGCTCATCGATAGACTCTTGGATGTGGGCGAAGACAGTGTGACGATTAAACAAGTAATCCGACTAGGCCAGAAAACTAACCAGTCATGTCGACCTCTGAGAATCACATTTGAAAATCACAATATGCCGCAGCTCATACTGTCTCTTCTGTCAAGGCTGAAAGGCATAAAATTTCACATCCGCCGAGACTTGGAACCCGAAGACAGGGATCGTTTGAAGACTGCGGTCATTGAGCTCAAACGTCGTACTGAAGAAGGTGAGGCTGACTTACAAATTGTAAATTTTCGGGTGATCAAGAAGGGTGTGCGAATCCGTAACAACCGGTTGCTCAACCTCCAGATACTTCCCGCGGTACCTCCCAGGACCTCCGTGTGGCATTCGCCAACGTGTGCAGCCTACTGAACAAACGTGACGAACAGTGCCACTTCGCTGTCTCGGAGCGGCCGGACGTTTCAGGACTTGCAGAGACTTGGCTGAACTCTGACATCAAACCCCAAGTAATCGCGTTTTCAGGATACTCTTGTTTCCGATGCGACCGAAAATCAAAGCCTCACGGTGGTGTTCAGTTGTACATAAAATCGTCACTATCTGGTAAACTTACCAGCACCTATTGGAGCGAGGACAATTTATGAGAGCAATTGTGGTGCACAATCTGCCTCAGACGCGTAGAACTAATAGTGGGTGTTATCTGCCGTAACTCATTAAACCGTTGTTGCGACCGGTTGCTACCACATATACAGAAGCACACGTGCCGCCCTCAGTTCTTATTGATGGGGGATCTAAATTTACCTAA